CTACACGTAATAGACCCAGAAAAAACTCGTGAGCATCCTCTTGTGCTCCCATTTGCCATTGAGGTAAAATAGCTAATGTAATTGTAAAAGAAAATACGACATCTACAATGATCATATTACAAATGACTTACAGTTCATGACATTGTAAGACACGAATGTGGAAGGAGAAAAAGATGGTCCAGGATCTACAAGAAGACCCACAAAAACAGCTTTAACCTCACACAAAAAAACAAGGAGATAGAAGGTTACACCCTAGCAATGATTAATAATGTTGATAAAAAATTATGTCTATTCTACATAAATATATATACCTGGTACTTTGGCATGACTAATAATACCAGAATGAAAACTCCTAGTGCAAAACAGTGCTTGTAGAACAGAGTTTGCGAAACAAGTATTCCCCAGGTTACTTAATCCAATCGGAAACCCCAGCAGAGAAGTAGCCGAAGGACATGGAACCCCAGAAATACCACTAGTCAGGGGCGTCGCTGGCCTTGAAAGATTGGTAGGGCACTAGGTCTATGCAAGAGAGAGAACCTTTTCGCGCGCGAAGCGCGCGAAAATTTTGCCGTATTTAATTAATATTCATGATGGGTGTGGTCAGTTTTGGTCGATTAATTGATTGATTGATTAACTTTTGACGCCCAAAATTCATAATGGCGTTCATTTCCAGCAATAAACTGCTTAACTACCGACTGTATTTCGTCAGTTGTTGGTGTGTGTGAAGAAGTAAGCAGTGATTGAGTCTTTCCTAGATGGTTATTAAATGAATTAACTTGAATTAATAACTAATTTTAATAAAAAATGGCTACTCTTCAAAATATTGGTGGGGCAACTGCCCTACCTGCCCCTTAGGCAGCGACGCCTCTGCTAGTATGATCAGTAACAATAGCTTGATTAGTAGCCATTGTGTCATAGACAAAAAACGAGGCAATCTAATTAAAGCGCATGCGCACTGTAGTTTTCCACCCACACAACTAATTGGATCCATTCCTGTCTCTAGACGCTTTGTGCTTAACCAAGGATCTTTGATGGTCTTTTTAGTCCTTCTAGCTATAGCAGATGATGAAAACAGCAATAGAAAAGGTAGTAAAGATATTATCCTTTCAATGACTCAACATCTAAGTACAGGATACATGAAAAGTA